TCTGCGTACGGCACCTATATAATTTTTCAAAAAAGCGGAACTTGTTGAATTGTACTTCAAGGACGAGGGAAGTTCTGTCGAAATAACCTTGGACCATTTTTTAAAATATATTTTAAACATATTTTATCTAGGAAAAATTTTAAGATGACATTTGATATGCCTTTTACCTTCTACACAAGATTCTTAACACATTTCTAAAATTTTATAACATTCTGTCCAGTAGTTTCAGAGATTATTTGTTAGTAAAACCGCCAATAAACGACAGATAGATGGAAACGGGGACCTACACTTTTTCATAAAACAAAAAACATGAAAGTGGCTGTTCGACAAATACTTCCAGGGTGGACCATTGGGAAGTAAAAATATGGAATCATCGGAAATATGACATACTGTCGACGCGTTTCAACAACTTTGTTGGTACCTGTAGAAATAAAGTAAACTTTTGTATTTAATCTGACTCAGTTTGAAAGAATTAGACGCAATATATTTAGTTGTTGAAACGTGGTATAACGAAACTTTCGGTGTTGTGGGGTTTACAATGTGTTTGAATTACAAATATTGTAGCATTAAAAAATACTAAATATATTATTATAACTAGTTTAATAAGACGTTCTATTGTAGCACGAGCGCAGCGAGGAGTGCTCCAAACAAACGAGTGCTACAATATGTCTTATTAAACGAGTGTAATACACATGATTTTATGAAGTAAAATAGAAAATCTGGTTATGATTATTATTTAGGGTTTTTTTGAACATGATCTATGTAGATGGCAACACTGTCAAATGACGAAGTTATGGTTTTGGCCAATTAAATTTGACGCGCATGTCACCTAGAAAACATGTAACCGACATTACAAAACAAACTGTTACCAAAAACAGTTTCACAAAGGTTTCTACGAGGCCCATTGCTAATGCATAGTAGAAAAAACACTTTTTGAAATGTGATTATCAAACCAAAAATAAAAAAAGACAAGTTTGGAGATTGTCCTACATTCCAAGTACATTTCCTAACAAAATTTTATAGTGACGTCATCACTTTTCTAGTGGGGATAGTTGGATTCATTTTAATATGTATCATAGGTAAGTACAACAGTGGTATCTAGATAACAACAGTGGTAGGTAGCAACATTGTGTTAGTCATTTTTTCTTCCCGAGCGTAAACTAAGAAAGTATTGTAAAAAGGTCCATCCGGTGAATGACTATTTTCATGTTTTCTCGACGTTTCATGACCCATAGAGTACAAAAAATAGTTCTTCCGTTTCCGTCTGTCTGTCGTCTATTTGTTGTTTGTTTGTCGACGGTCTGTCATTTGAGTCAATTTTTATTAAGTGCATAATTTTGAAAAAACCGGACTAATCAAAATTTGTTTATTATCCCCACCAATAATTTGTTGATATCACCTCAAAATTTTCCTTAATAAATTGTATACCTAACGGTTATTCTCCAAAATGCCGAAAACAAAAAAAAATGTCGATTACGTTGCGGTATGATTATCTAGTGAAACTAAAGTATTTTATTAGTACCTATAATCGCGTATCGAGTGGTCAAAAAAAAATCCTTAGTACCTAATTAACTTCTACAGACTACAGGATGTTAACAAATGATCTGCATTTAGTGAGCTATGAAATTCACAGTGGCGGCTCGTGATCTTTTGAAATGGGGGAACACAATTTGATTGATGAGTTAAATATGAAGACATAAAACAGATCGTTATTACCAATTAATAGGCGAAATTGTGTGACGGAGATAAATACAAAAATACTGTTACGAAATAAACCCATACGACGCCCATGGTTCTAGCATGTACGGCGAAGATGACTCATCGTCGATGACGCGGCCGGACGGCGTTCACTACGGAAAAGCCTGGAAGCGGAAGTGGCAATTGGTATTCCAGAAAGACCCCGATCGCCGCAAATCTAGAAATCAGTTCAGTCCGCGAGAGTACAGCCAAGTTGGGCCGGATTTATTTTGTACATGATTACTGTGTAATTACTCGTGTAACTTTGAGTTATTGAGAAATAAATTGTCAAGTTTAACCCACGCCGATTTTAATAACCCGTTCGACGTCATAATACATTAAAAAAAAGTAAAACATTATTTGTCCACATACCTTCGTGTCGTAGATCATCCACGCCAGTATTAATCCAGGGAGATGGTTTTAACTCAGACACACAAAACAAAACAGTTTATTATTTTTTTCACAACCGCACATTCACGAATATTTACGTGCTACGTCTATTAAAATATCTATGAAAGTATCTCGTTTTGCCATGAACACTTTTTTTATTAATAAATTTTTCACAAAAATTTTACCGTCAGCGTCGTGACATGGAGGACGATTTTTTATTAAATATTCAACCGAATTCATTATTTTTATTTAAAATCAAACAAATTTTTTACTCGCGCAGAATGAAAATTAAAACCCGCAATTGAGTTACTGCTGGTGGGTACTGTCGGAACAGGACCCGATTCCAGCTGAATACCGCGACTAGACGCACGGTTTCCATGGCAACGGTGTAAACAAAACGTTTAAATCATATATATCATATATCCAAGACACAACATAATTTTTTAAATCTTGAAAATTACTATTTTACTATGTCCAGTGTGTTTGTAGACGTTGTAATTTTGGGGGGCACGTGCCCTTGGGCCCTCTGGCACCAGCCACCCCTGCAAATTCTTTTATTTATGTGCCGCCTTATTTCACTTTTTGCTAAATTAATTAATCTGTCAATTATTAGTTGTCAAACTTTGAATCAAATTTTTCGTTTCTTTCAAGTCGTGTCAGCAGCCCTTTGGATGTAAATAATTTATCAACACCCTATATTTAAATTCTGTAAAGTAATAAGTAATACACTCCTTTCCTACTTGTGGTTTATGTTCAGCGACTGTTTTTAGCTTAGCTAATTAGACGTGTCATATCTAATTTGTGTTATCTATTTTTTTCCAACAATGAAAGGAGATAAGGGTCGACAAATTTTTGTTAAAGTTACCAGGAGGTAACTAATGTATGTAAAATAAAGGGTATGTTTAGTTACGCCATTGTTCCTTAACGAGGGTCGTATTAACTCTAAAATGACTTAGGTTAAACAAAACGAGACATATGTTTGATACTCCGAATACATATAATAAATTTAAAATCGTATCGTCATGAGTAACTAAAGCAGATATTTAAAAAATCACCCAACAGTACCTAAAAGTACGTCCAAAATTTTAAAATAATATTTTGTTCTCTAATTTCAAAGAGTACCTAACTACCTTATAACATTGCCCACATCAAATAAACGAATCAGAAAAACTACTCGTAAAACACGAAATTCACATTTTTGTATGCTAGTCTTTAAAAAAATTTTTAAAAAATCAACATTCAGAAAGTAATAAAATGCCAAAAAAGAAGTAATTTTAACTAAGTGCTATGTACAAATAAAATCATAGATATTTAGTTATTCTTGAAAAACGTACGAAATATAGGTATAGGATGTATGTGGCTTGGAAAATTCTCTTCGTATAATTTTGACATTCTGGATAAAAGATATGAGATCTCCGAGTCATTTACTTGTTTACTTACTTTATATAGTTTTATATCTGGTGACTATTAACGATTGAAGCAATTTTTTGTGTTGGCAATTCGGAATTAATGTCATCCGTGCAAGTACTTTAGTTTACAGTTGCCAATTTCAACAAGAGCACTCCTAACAAACGTGTTTATTTGTTGAGACAGTGGCAGTTGTCTTAAATGTTACTTTGACAATTAGGTATGGCATCATTAAGTTTTAAATAGGTTGCCAACCTTACAAAAAAATCATTTTTTTTATACCTTAAAGAACCTAAAATCAAATATTATGCCGCTGAAGAATGAAAAAATATACCTAACATTTGAAACACTTAAAAATACATACCTACTCCTTTCCATTAAAAAAAAAAAAATAATGTCATGTCGGGAAATTCCACTAGGTAACACCTATGTAGTTCCGCATCATGCTCATTTTCTAATTTTTTTTGGGTCAAGTGGCAGTGTTAAGCTTTAAAATTTTGTCTTTTGAGTTAACTGAAATATCCATAATTTAATTTTTAGAGCGTCATTTTATCAAACGAATTCGTATCAAGTATGTATTACATCATGGGAAAAATAAAAAAGTATTCTAGTTAATGCATTTATAATAAACTTACCACATATCCACATTCTATTCCACAAAAAAGTTGAAATTATTTCCGGAAAAATAAAGTTGATCCAACATTTTAAAAGACCTTTCGTGTAAATTTATACTCCTATATTTTTTGTATTAATTAGCCGCTATAAAATTCACACTAATCTTTTCAAAAACTGTAGATATTTGGGTGGAGTAAGTTAACTGGAACACGTAGCATTTTTGTTTCAGTCGATTTGGAATGTTTTCAGCAAACACATTAATTACCGATAATCCTTATTTAATAATAATATAAAACAGGCTCCTCAAAAAATAGGGACACTTGTGCCAAATTTTTTATCGGACACTAATTTCACCTTTACGACAATGTAAGCCAAAAACAAAAACTGGAAGAGAGAAGACAATTAGCGAATCTTCTCGCAAATAAGATCAGCTGAAGACGGAAAAGAGAAATAATAGATGATTCAATGTCATAAAAACCACCGAGTTCGACTGAGCCTGAATTTGCATCACCATCTACCTCATCTGCATTTCCGGAACCAATACCTGTAGAACCAGAAACAGATAAATGTGAATAAAAAGAAACCTACCAGGATGGCGATCTGAAGGTTTTCAAGGATTTTACGCAGTGAAGCCAGTCTACCACTTAAAGATTGCCAATCTGCTCTTTCCCCTAAATTTTTTTAGTTTGCTTGAACTAATATTAAAATACGAGTGGTGGTATTTTTATTATTTTTTCGGATTTCTAATTATTGCTTTGATTTTTACCGACACGCAACCCAAAATACACCAAAGCCTTGCACAAAATATAAAAGCAAGCGTAATAGGGTTCATTAAACAAAAAGTACGTAAATGATATGAAACAAAATGTTTTAATTACAATCATTGAACCTACAGTTATCACAGTACCTTACATCAATGCGCAAACTTTTATTCAAGTAATCAGTTAACACAGGTTTCATATTTTGGCCAACTATTTTTGATTGAACTTATTTTTCAAACCCTTAGTTCAGTCTGCTTTTTCCGTATATTACAGTATCGCATCATAACATTTAAAACGAAGAATAATCTTACCTTAACCTAATACAATGAAAATATTAAATTACAAAATTAAAGAACATCTTGGAAATTTTTAATTAGTGGATATCAAAATTTAAAAGTATATGGGGTGAATTTTCTTGCTATTAATTGCTTTCCTACAAGTTGGACACTTTTTCGAAATTTGAGCCGCCTGCATAATGCAGGGTTTACAAAAAATGTGCCCACAGACTGTCACTGAAGCTGGCCGATTCGCTAACGTCTCAAAACATATGGGACACGATCCAACTGTCACTTTTGCGGGACTGTCATCCACCTATCAACGAACAAAAAATGTATATAAATTGAGATTACACATTATTTTAGTAATAACCTTTGGCTTGGGCTCTGTTTTATCTCCAGCTTTGATTTCATTTAACAACGCAGACGCATTTTTCAACATCTCCTCAGTCTCTTTTCTAAAATCTTCCAAACTACGGGAAAATATTTTAATTAAGTTTGTACTAGCACCTTACAGTATACCTCTTTATATCATTCAAATTATTTTCTTTGCTTTCAGTGTTACTATCTAAAACTGAGTCAACAATTTCCATGATATCATCATCTAAAATTTTCCTGCAAAATCATGTGAAAAACAAAACAACAAAAGCTTGTTTTCCTTACTTTGTGCCAGTCTTTAACCCAGAGCTGGTGCTGGGTCCAGAAATATCAATAACTCCACTACTAGTTGACTGTTTACTCTGTAATTAACAAATATAAACAAGATTTACCAAGATCACTCAATACCTTAAAATCATCATCGGAGTCATCTGAAATTAAAAACGAACTTGCAAGAACCTTGTTATTTTTAGTTTTTGTTATCTCAACCTCGTCTTCATCACTTGAAATAAAACTTCCCGTTTCCATGAAGGTACCCACTTTTGCTTTGACATTGTTTAATATTTCGTTAGACTCCGACGTCTGAAACAGCACTTTTTTTAATACACTGGCGTGGAAAAATACAGAACTCACGTCGTCTAGTGGAATGACTTCGCTCACCGTAGCTGCTCTAGAAGCGGCCGTTGCAGCTGCAGTTCGTCGTGCAGGCTTCCTTCGAGGGGTTGGTTTCGTTTTGTTAACGGGCGGTTTATTGGTTAACATTGCTATCAAAGACAACGGCAAGTCGTCATCGGCAGGTAACCACATGCGACGGCCTCGTTTAGAGCTCCTCGCTGATTTTCTTCTCGAACTCATGTACAGGTTATTACTACAAACATTGTATCGATTTTTTTTTTTAATATAATGCTCTAGTGGTAAATAGTGATAAACCGAACTTACTTCTTTGCCTTTTTTTTAAATTACTATAATATTCCGTTTTTGTGATGAAATTTTTTTAAATAATTTTTAAAACCGTTTATTTTTAACGTTGTTGTAGACCTGTCAGTTGTCAACGGTCGTTACGCCGCCTACTGGACAATTTTACGATGGTTGCGTCTTTCAGCTTTGGCCGTATTTATTTATGATTTATTTATTAGCCACAGGATGGGCAAGAAAGGATTACAGTTGCTAAGAAATATTACTATTGTTAAATGGTTTGTTACTTTTGTGAAATTGTTAAACGACGTTTTTTTGTCATTTGGTTATGTTACAGAAATCGTACTGGACCTACTTATAACATTTTCTCGAAAGATGGCACACTGAGAAATGTCAAATTTAAATTAAAATAATAATTATTTTAGATGGTAGAGAAACACTTTGCAATTTTTCTCAAGTCCATTTACCTGGATTTTCGTTTTTTTTTTATATAGTTTTATCAAGTACTAAGATCCACGCCTGCATTTTTGACAGTTTTGATATATAAATATTACTCAAGTTACTCAGACTTTTCTATAGATTACGAGCAACTTTTGCTATAGATTTTTAAATAACTGGAAAATATGTTTTCAAAATTTTTCAAAAAGAAATATCACAATACTTGAGTTGAATGAGGACAGCCTCAATTTTATCTTTTTTCAACACAATCGGTTATGGGTCCATTATGGACAGCGTAGATATTAAACGGCATCAGTTTTGCATAGAGTTTCCCTATTTAAAAGTATTCCGATCAAGATTATTTCACTAGGGACACGTATGGCAATTCTGACAGGTGCAGTGTAATACTAATATTAAAATCTGAAGTTGTAGTGGGGTTTAGGGAGTCCCAAAAAAATAATAAAAATTTTTTTTAGGAAAAAAACGTAACTTATAGTATTAATTTATTAATTAATTTTATTTTTTTTAGGGCAATAACCATAACAACTTGTAGTCATTAACCGTTGTGCATTATTATTAATAAAACAAGTTGTTATTTCTCATTCATAAATAAACCAAAAAAAAAACATTTAACATCACATTTTTTATAAATTATAAACAAAACAATACCAAGAAAACAAAAATTCATCAAAGCATCACCAACTAAACCTAGAGAAGATGTTAAAAATTTCTGCCTTGTGCATATAAGTAAGCTCGTAATGTTTCCAAATTTTGATAATTTTTTGTAAAGTTAGTCATCAGTACTTGCTAAGATAAAACTGATTTTGGTAATGTCATACGTTCTAAGAAAACAGAGGGTGGGTGGGCGGGGCTAGCAGCTGCTAAGATAAAACTGATTTTGGCAAATGACGTACCCTGTAATAAAAGAGAGGATGGGAGGGCGGGGTTAGTATCTGCTAAAATGAGACTGATTTTGGCAAATGAGATACTCTCGAAGAAAAGACAAGGCGGGTGGGTGGGGCTAGTAGTTGCTAAGATAAAACTGATTTTGACAAATGACATACCCTCTAAGAAAAAAAAGCGCGGGGCTAGCATCTGCTAAAATAAGACTGATTTTGGCAAATAACATACCCTGCAAGAAAATAAAGAGCCAGGTGAGTGGGCGGAGCTAGTACATGTTAAGATATGAGTGATTTTGGCAAATCACGAGTTTTTTTAATTTTTCAATTTTTTTATTTCATAATGTCATTTTTCCGATTTTTTTCAAATATCTGTTCCATTTGTCGAATTTAATTTTGCATCTTTCGGTTTTTGCAGTTTTTTATTTCTTCAATTTTTCGATTTGCGATTTTTTTAGTTTTCAGTATTAAATTTTTATTTTTTTTTTATTTTTCAACCTTTGAATTTTTTATTTTTAAAATTTTCGTTTCTCAAATTTTACATTATTTCTCGAAAAAATTAAACTTAGCCCCACCCACCCACCCGTCCTCTCATTTTTTTTCTACTGAAATAAGAAATAAATCTTATAGCAAATAGTATAATAAAAAAAGTTACGTTTCGTGCTTTTTTTTACTTTTTTCAGACCCTAGATTCTATTAGTTTCCACTTCCACTCGAGAGAAGGAACATATTTAGGACAAATTTGCTTTTGTATTGCTCACACTCACACCTAGGCCATAAAACAATTCACGTGTTTCATTATTTGTAATTTTGTACAGGGTGAGTTATCAACTACCCAAAGCTCCATATCTCATTATTATTACTGTTAGAGATACAACAAAACGTCGAAGACCAAAGTGATACGCTTCTTTAACGACTATACGTAAGTATATTGTTTTTAAGTATACAGGGTGTTCTTTTAAATGAAACACCTATATATTTTAACATATTCTCATTAGCCTCTTCCTTACATTTATTTCTGAAATTCCGATGCGACGTTGCCACGTTATTTCTATTTTTTTGAAATTTTTTGGCAATGGAAGTGTTCACAAGAAATCGCAATTGGGTTATTTTTAAAGTATGTCTTTTACAATGTTTGGTGGAAGGATAAATAAAGGTACGCGCTTTGTTGTGGTATCAATTAAACCAAACTTTGATATACAGAGTGTTTATAAAAAAATCTAAAAATATCGATATTTCACTTTAACTTATTACTTATTGTATCTTACGATATTTTTTGATCTCATTCTTTTAATATGTCGACCTTCGTCTTGACAAAGTAAAAAATCGGAATAACTATCAACTTCAAGTATGGAAAATACTTAACAAAAGAGAAAGAGAACAAAAAATAGAATGCGATGCGCTATTAAAGTATAGGATGTTCTATTGTAACACAGATTTTAAAAATAACCCTATAGTGATTTCTTTTTGCACCTTTCCATTGCTAAAAAAATTCAAAAAAATTGGAACAACGTGGCAACGTCGCCTTGTATTTCAAAAATAAACTGTAGTTGCAAAGCCTGAGAAGAAGCCAGTTAAAATATGTAAAAATATATAGGATGTTTCACTTAAAAAGGCGAAGTTGTGTGTTAAACACTCTGTGTAGTTTAAAACAATTTTAAAATACAGTTCTCAAAGAACCGTACAATTTTGGCCTGTGACTTTTTCTTCTATTTCTAAAAATAATTAATGCGATATCGAAGAACGTGCGCTTTTCAGCAAATACAGTTCATCCCCCAAAATCACGTTCTTTAGAGTTGAAATTTTCGAAAATTCTTCCTTATTGCTCACCTAGATTTTAAAACAAGTCGACTGTTATTCATTTAAAGTATTTCAACCAAATCAACCATATACATTTTTATCCTTTCACCCTTAACTTTCATCCCCGGTTTTGCACCCTCAGGGAATGAACTTGAAAAATTATTGTGGTAATCCAAACATCCCGCTGTAAATTGACACTTGAAGAAAAGTTGAAAGCCCGCGAAAATTCAAAAATTCAAACTTTGGCCTTGGCTGTGATCGTCTGACAAAATGTAACCTATGTTGTGTGTTTTTTTTAAGATGCAAGTGGTGGACCCCAAGGCTGGAAAAGTACCGCTAAATAAAACACCAAATATATGGAGGACACAAAATTATGTATTCCTCCACTGACAAAAAAAAAAAGAAAAATAAAAGCTGCGACCAAGATGTACCGGTTGAAGACAACTCATAATGCTCAGCAACAAAAAAAAACTTTCCAAACTTTGAATGAAATCAAATTAAATGTTCTGAATCAATGCAAATATTTGAATATCACAAATTCAATAAAAACAAAGAAAATTCTGAAATAAAGTAACTGGCGTTTTAGCACGAGTGGAGTTTGGGGCTCCTGGTTGTGGCTGTTCTCCTACCCACGACGGTGATTCTATCTATCGCAAGCACTGCCGCACTATAACGCCAACTCGTGATTGGGTCTCGACTGTTGAGCCAAGTCGACAGCGACAGCTTTGTCTAACTTTGAAAGATTCCACGCATGCGCAATTGTACTATACTCGAATAGAGAACAGCAGAGGTGATGGGTACTGTCACTACTGTCAAAATGCTGTCAAATAGGATAACCAAATAAAATAGTGCGACATATTTATAAAAAAGAACTGTTTTAGGAAAGTGAAAATATAATAATAATAATAGAAAGAAACTAATGATCTTAAATAACAACAGGTAAGTATTTTTTATTCTATTCAAGATAAACAAAAGTTATGATGTCCATAAACTACCGTTTTTTCCTTGGAAAAAATGTCTGCTTGTCAATTTTTCTTTTACGAGTAGCTACTGGAATTACTGGAGTATTATTTTCTTCATCTAACTTACTGCTTAAATCTGTTAAATTTTCCAATAAATTTTGACATTTTGCCATTGTATTGCATTTGTTTAGGATAAAATTAAACATTTCCTGGCACTGATTTTTTAAGACTACAGTTGCATCCGAATCCGATCTTTGTTGCATTTCGGAAATCCTTGTATCTATTAATTCCTCTTCCAACCGTTTGTTGGTTTCAGACTCTTCGGCAATGGCGAGCTCTCCAGTTTCTGCCTCTGTTGTGTCCTGTGTGCTGTTCCTCTTGGTCATGTTGATATACATTGCTACCAAATGCATATGCTTGCAAAAATTATTTTTAATAATGGACTCATGACATGAACAGGTCAATGTGTGAATACAGACATTGCAAAAGGGACAACGAAGCCTTTGACAGTCACATGAAGGGTTGGTGAGTTTTACTTCATAGAAATCGATTTTGTTTTGTGAATGCACTAAATATGTTTTAGAATCGCTTTCTGATATTGATTCAAAACTCATTGACATCGCTGTCCTATGAGCTTTATTAACAACTAAATGTTTGTGAGATGCAGTTGGGAGCACAATTGATGCAACACGTTTCCATGACTTGTCTTTTAAAAGTTTGTCCAACATGTCCAGGCAAGTTTCTAATCTTCTCACTGTTTTTCCACAGAAGTAATTATATTTCAGTGTTTTATGTAAGGCTTCCAAATGCATGTTTGTATTAATTCCAGCATGCAATCTATAACAATGGGCCCATGAACCAATTCTTGTCCTATCTTGAAAGTAATATTTTTGTAAATAATCTAAAAATGCTTCTTCATTTTGTTGCCTTAAGTAATCAAAAAGTTCTTCTGTTAGTCTTAAAAATTCCTTTTCTTCAACCTCCTTTAGTAATTTCTCTAAATCTTTTTGAACTTTATTGCACACCTCTTTATTTGAAATTTTGGCTTTTGATTGTATCGTCCAATTTTTTTTTATGTGCCAAGTGCACAATAGTCGTTGTGGAGAATTACCCATGATTTTGGTCCATGCATCAAAATAAATATTTGTATCATCAGACATGAAATATTTAGGACTTATAGTTGATGTTGTCCTTTTTAATTCCGTCAATAAGACTTCCTGAATTATTTTGTCTTTTCGGTTACTTATTAAGAAAACAGTTGGGTAACCAATGTTTTCGTCATCTAAAATTAAAATTGTGGTTAGTTCATAATTATAGGGGTTTGTGCCATGGGTTGCGTCCATGCATATAATGTTGCACCCATACGTTTGTAGCATGTATTCCATTTCCTTATTAATATATGCTAATACAAAATCAGAATCGTGTAGTCCTTCATATTTTTCTCCAGGCTTCTTATATATAACTACATTTTTTCTGTCTCCAGAATTCCATTCTGCAACTTTCAAATCCACAGCAACTAAATCTGATTTATGCCTTCGATTATTCAACTTATTTTTGTCTGCTATATAGTATAAATCTTTTTTAGTTAGTAGATTTAACCTGCTCCACTCACCTTCCTCATTTATTTCCCTCGCTTTTTCTATAATATGGTCTTGAGATACACCACTCTTGATTTGGTTAATAATTGTTGTTTTCTCTGTTGCAGATAACGGTTGACATTTCAGTTCAAGCTGATGACCATAATGAGTGGATGTGAATGTAACTGAAACCCTGGAACTTCCAATGTATGTTTGTTTGCGAATTCGCGAGGGACATGCACCATTAATTTTTATAGACCCACTTAATTTTGGTGTTCTTAACTTACATTTCGACTCAAATTTGTCTAAATTGCTTCTATGGCATTCATAATAGTATACTTTCCCTAAAGTGCTTTTGCCGCATGTGGCGTTCAACATATAAAATGACTTCAATTTTTTTTCTGTATGTTCCTTCCACTCGGCAAATGATGACTCGTTTTCAAATTCTAAATTTTCTAATTTAATGCTTACATCATGAATATTCGAAAGGTGTACTGAATATTGATGAAACGTCGAAAAATGTGTTTTGACTGTGCAAGAAGGGCAGATAATATTGGAAGTTCTTGAACTGTTTTGACTATTGTCATTGTGAATAGTGCGAAGATGTTTGTTTCGACTTGATATACTTTCAAATTTTTTCTTACAATGTTTACACTGTATTGTATTGCTAAAATAAATGCATGATTAGTCTAACAAAATTTTATTTTATACATTCTAAATATTACCTTTCCATAGGGGCAATTCTGAATGAAACCTGTTAAAATTTAAAGGTTGTTAAAAATAAAGTTTTTTGTCGGATGTGTATTTTAATTGGTATTCCGGATCCCGATAAATTAACACCATGTTAAAATTGACATTTTTATCGGATCCGTTTAAATTTTCGGATGACCGTTAATTTGGTTTAAACGAACTAGCCAGTGTGTTTCGTGGCCTATTTTAGGTTAAAGATGCCTTGACTTTACTATCATAAATTAAAATTTTGTTGGAATTGAGCTTCTTAAACATAAAATCTGGTATAGATAAATTATAATAACTGTAAAGTCAAGAAGCAGACGGAGACGGACCGAAACCAAGTGGTACGTGTTCAACGGTGATCACTATTTGTGAGGTTAGGAGTGCAATTAGTGAATCAAAACATTCAAAATCAAAACAAATCCAAGTTTATTCTGGATTTTTGGATAATTTATAATTTGCCATCAATTACTATATTTAACTACAGGAAGCCACTTATAAGAATATAAGAAATTAACTCCACGGTAAGTTTATACTCAAGTAAATTGAAGTAAAATGCATTGGTTTTAGATTATGAAATTTTATCATCCGATTTGATGTTCATATATAATAGTTATGTATGTGTTCAGTCATGTGATTGCTTTTCTGAAATTAACTGAAAATGATACGTTTCCAAAAAAATCCAGTGTCTTGAGGGAGAAGTGTTACTTTTTATTAAAAACGCACCAAATGATAACTTTTTATTACTTGCATAAAGTTGCTTCAGTAATGAGTGCTTTTTGTGGTTTAATGCTGGAGGAACTGGCCAAGGTGCGCATTAACAACAGTGAAGACAGATGATTTGTTTCAGTGGTCGAAATTGCAGACTGGTGCCTCGAAAAGCTTCACAATCATAAAAGAGGACAGTATAGGAGCGTCAAATTTAGTTAAGTAATTGAAAATTGTATTTTTTACTTGGGAAATGAGAATAGAAATTATTTTCGTTATGTTTTTATGTAAGTATGAAATGTTTGTAAATTGTTAATTAAAATAAATTATTTTCCAAATGTAGTTATGTTGTTATTTAATAACTATAAAAATTAACTTGCAATTTGCGGGCAATTATTATTTGGAGCATTACGAGGGTGCTAGTTGCTACCATTTCCAAGGTGTTATCGTTCAGTAATTGACAGGTGAAAAATAAATTAATCAACGGGCCTCACTTTTTTCCTGATGATTTATTAAATAACTACTTACATTCTTTGTAAATTCTCTTCATAATTTACTATAAATAAATGCAAAATACCGTTCAGGTACGCCATTATTGTTTTTTTTTTTTTTTTGTTAATTAAAGGGTACTAGCAAAGGATCCTTTAAAACTATCACTTTTAACGGATTCATTTAAACACCCTTGTTAAAATTTAACATCAATTTGATGTTTTAGAATAGTAAATTTTGATTTTGTCGGATGTTTAAATTTAAAGGGTGTTAAAATTAAACGGACTTCAAAATTAAACAGTACAGAATAGAGATTCATTTTTAACAACCTTTAAAATTTTAACAACCTCTAAATTTTAACAAGTTTCATTCAGAATTGCCCCTCATGTCTATTAATAGTAATTATATAATTATTCGAAATAAAGGAGCGATTTCACTTTTATTCAGGTTACAATTAATTTTGCGGTGGTAAAAAAAGGCGCCAATTAGCCAATTGTTTCAATAATAATTAACATAAGGGGCAATTCTGAATGAAACCTGTTAAAATTTAAAGGTTGTTAAAAATCAAGTTTTTTGTCGGATGTGTATATTAATTGGTATTCCGGATCCCGATAAATTAACACCATGTTAAAATTGACATATTTTTATCGGATCCGTTTAAATTTTCGGATGACTTCGTTAATTTGGTTTAAACGAACTACCCAGTGTGTTTCGTGGCCTATTTTAGATTCAAGATGCCTTGACTTTACTATTATAAATTCAAATTTTGTTGGAATTGAGCTTCTTAAACATAAAATCTGGTAACCTGATAACCCAAGGGTCGTGGGTTCGATTCCCACCCTGCCTCTGGGTGTTGTGTATGTCCCGTTCCCCTGTAATTGGCTTCGGCTTGTTGGGGAACAACGTAATTGGAAAAAAAAAGGCACAATTTAGCAATTGTATGTTTTATTTTAGCTGAATAAACATTCACATCCACTCATTATGGTCATCAGCTTGAACTGAAATGTCAACCGTTATCTGCAACAGAGAAAACTACAATTATTAACTAAATCAAGTGGTGTATCTCAAGACCATATTCTTGAAAAAGCGAAGGAAATACATGAGGAAGGTGAATGGAGTAGATTAAATCTATTGACTAAAATGGATATATACTACATAACAGATAAAAATAAGTTGAATAATCGAAGGCATAAATCAGATTTAGTTGCTGGGGATTTTTGAAAGTTGCAGAATGGAATTCTGGAGACAGAAAAAATGTAATGTTATGAAATAAACCCCTACGCCGCCCCGGTACGACGCCTACGATTCTCGTATGTACGTCACAGATGACTCATTGTCGGCAGCTGCGGCCGCAGAAGAGCTTGGAAGCGGAAGTCGCGAATGGGCTCTCCAGAGAAGTCTATAGTAGAGACCCTAAATAAGATTATTTAGGGTCTCTAGTAGTTGTTTGTTTACGTTCATCATGTCAAAGAAGTGCAAGACAAGCCGATATGACTCAGTTGCCCCTCGAGGATGCCGAGCGCCAACGAGCGTTTTAAATTGCACGATGTTGATTCGCTGTTTTAAAAATTGCGGTAAAGATGATGGCTGTATACCCAAGATGTTATGCGCAAACTTCTGTCTCTTACTAACATGCAGTAATCCTCGGTCTGTTCGTGTTTACGATTATTCAGTAGATAGGTCCATAGGATAACCAAATAAAGTAGTGCGACATATTTATAAAAAAGAACAGTATTAGGAAAGGGAAAATATAATAATATTAATAATAAAAAGAAACTAATGATCTTAAATAACAACAGGTAAGTATATTTTTATTCTATTCAAGATAAAAAAACAAAAGTTTTGATTTCCATAAACTACCGTTTTTTCCTTGGAAAAATGTCTGCTTTTCAATTTTTCTTTTACGAGTAGTTACTGGAATCATGGTATTGTTTTCTTCATCTAACTTACTGCTTAAATCTGTTAAATTTTCCAGTAAATTTTGTCATGTTGCCATTGTATTGCATTTGTTTAGGATAAAATTAAACATTTCCTTGCGCTGATTTTTTAAGACTGCAAGGCTTCCAAATTCATTTTTTTATGTGCCAAGTGCACAATCTTAGTTGTTGTGGAGAATTACCTATGATTTTGGTCCATGCATCAATATAAATATTTGTGTCATCAGACATGAAATATTTAGGACTTATAATTAATGTTATCTTTTTTAATTCCTTCCTGAATTATTTTCGTCATCTAATATTAAAATAGTGGTGAATTCGTAATTGTAGGGGCTTGTGCCATGTGTTCCGTCCGTGCATATAATTTTAGAGTCATATGTAACATGTATTCCATATCCTTATTTATATGTATGTACAGCTGGTTTCAAAAAAACCGGGACAAATGGCAGTGACATGAACATCGTATTCCTATTGCTTTTCATTGATCTATGAGAACCTGATTTGCTCATCTTGTCCCGTTTTTTTTTTTTTTTTTGAAACCAGCTGTATATGCTAATGCAAAATCAGAATCGTGTAGTTCTCCATATTTTTCTCCAGGCTTCTTATATATAATTACTGTTACGTTGAACGGGTATTTAAAATCGGCGTGGGTTAAACTCAACAATCTATTTCGTACGAACTCGAATTTACCCGTCAAATGACACAACGATTATGTACAAAATAATTCCGGCGCCACTTCACTGGGTTTTTTCGTTACTCGTTGGACTCGACTTGTTTTTAAACAGCACGCGGTCTCGAAACGCCTACGTCACCGCTTCTATATACTATAGACTAGAGACCCTAAAAATAAGAGAGTCTGGCCAAAGCCGCCATTTTATATCACAATCAAGCGCGCCTTTTTTAAAATTTGGCGTCACATGTGTAATAACCAAAAAAGTAGCAGAAATTCGATAACAAACCATTGAAGGAAAAAATTATTGAATTACCAAAAATTTATTTAATCATCAAAAACAAAGGTGGTCATCAACGGACGAAATATGTAAATACAATAATATACAGCGTGTTATTGAAAGGTACGTACAAAATAAAATCGACAATTGGTCTTGAAGTATGGGTGCTAAAAGTAAAAAAAAGTTCAGATAAAAGTGTTCTCGTTTTAGAGATAAAAATGATTAAAATTTATGTCCAAATTTGTTGTACGCTTCTGATAAAAAGATCATATTTCGTGTCTATAGCAACATTTAGTCTTGACAAAAGTTTTATTGTTACAGTTGCTAGGATTAACTAAAATAAATTAATCTTACCTATTTTTCCTTCCTTCAGTAGCGTCTAAAAAGTTTGGATAAGGGTTAATTTTCATCTTATAATTTTGATAACACAAAATAAGTTTTTCAGACTTCTTAGACTTCGCGAAGAACTATCAATTTTGTTGTAAGTACCTTTCAATAACACCCTGTATAAACTACTAGATGGCTTAAAAATTCGTACATCTTATGAAGCAATATAAAAAAATCTTAAGGGGAAATAAGACAAAAAAATCAATCAACATAAATTTATTTTATTTTACACCATGATGCATTGCCATAATTTTGCTGTCACGGTGTAATTTACACGGTGGCAGTTGTTTCGTATACAATTAGCCAAATACACTGACGTCATCCGAGGTCATCAAGATGGCAGCGTTTGACAACTAGCCGGTTTTCTCATAAGAGTCAATGCTAATATTTTCGGAATTCATTTAAATTTGAGAGTGTGTCAACTGTGTTTTTATAGTTTGGTAAGTTTGTTACAGTTTCTAGACTGTGTAGATATCTGTAAAACGCACCATAACGTTTGAATATCCTTAAAAAATAATGTTTTCCAATGTGATGTACAGGTTAACTTCGCTGCATTTTATATTATTTGTTTTGCAAATTAATTCTGTGTTAATGTACATCAATGTTTTTTAAATACACTAGCATCTTAATATTATACTATTTTGTATTTTAGGAGAAAATGCCTACATTTTGTGCTGTTGTGGGTTGCGCGAATCGAAGCACCAGAAATGCGGACAAATTTTATTTTCCTTTCCCAGCAATTAGCAACAATAAAGGTAAATATAGTATACAGGATGGGGAAAAAAGGCGGAAGCTTTGGTTAAAAGCCTTGAAACGAGTGGATTTAACGAAGCCAAAGTAAAGTATTCCTATATTTGTTCGGATCATTTTATTTTAGGTACAGTAACTACTTATTAGATTTACAGTTTCTAATAAATTACTACATTGGTGCTCTTTTAGGTAAACCTGCAGATTTGTCGGTTGTGGACCATCCTGATTATATTCCATCACAAAATTTAGGATATCAAAATAAATCCACTCAATACTTGTAATGTTGAAAGACACAGTCGTTTAAAAAAGAGAAAACTGAATAAATGGCTCTAGACTTTTGAATGCACGAATTTCATTGTGGGTTATTTTAATTATTCCAAAAATAAAAAAGTTTAGAATGGTATTCATTGTTATGGTAGGGACATCGTCTAAACACAAATTAAAATCACTTGCACTCATTGTATAAGGATCTACGCCGTTTAAATTGTTTAACTTTTGTACATATCTGCTTTTCTCTTTGACGGAAAGACATCGTGCATAATCACTTAAATTATCCATACTTTAAAAACAAATTACACACCTTCACTTAAACCCGTCACATTAACCTCAAACGAAAATATTAATTTCCGATTTACCGCTTAAAACACACGGATGTATTTTGGGCGACGAGGAATTCAGACCAAAACAGCGTTCTGTATTTTTATTTTTATTATGTATTTTTAAACTCAAATCGCCAAAAAAAGCACCCTGATACACAGAAAAGATATGAAAGAAGCTATTCACGTGTTTATTTTCTAGATAAATACCCACACTTTTAAATAAAATGCGAAAATGTTAACATTGTCGCTTATGGAGTTTCACGCCGCTTGTCAAACGCTGAGTTCCCGCCACAGCGTGACGTCACGTGTTATTGGCTAATATAAAATCACAACAACACAATAAATGTCACCGTAGTCACAGCTGACAGTTTTAATCGTATCTGCAACCAGGCATACCGTTTTCAATACGTTTTCAAACAGAATGTGATATAAGATGGCCGCACCAATGAAAACCAAGCGACGCTTTGGCCAGACTCTCTTATTTAGGGTCTCTAACAACTACAGCACACCTACGCCATCTGCCATGTTATATCCGAGACCGTGGCCTATCTCGTTCATTGTCAGACTTTTGAATTACGCGGTAACTTTACACATGGTGACTGCGCATGCTATATTAGCGTGTATCTTTTACGACTATTCAGTAGATAGGTCCATTTGACAGCATTTTGACAGTACCCATCACCCATCACCCATCACCTCTCTGTTCTAAATTCGAGTATGATACAATTGCGCATGCGCGGAATCCTTCAAAGTTAGACAAAGCCGACAGCGACACGTCATCTCGACCGCCCTTGACTTCTATTCAAACCTGCATCCTTTTGTGCAGATGGTGCGATAAATCCCGCCAGTTCGACTAGGAACCGCGCACTTCGCTTGCGCTACGTGTTTCTGTGTTATTTAACCTCAATTTCATTGAAATATTCACTTTCTATGACTCTGATATTAAACTACAACTGAACAAGTGTTAAAGTTTCAAAAAGAGCAATAAACAACATTTAAATTCGCCATACACTCTTGTGAAATTTGAAACAGCAATGAATTCTTATCTGAGATTAAGACTGGCCAGCAGACAATTTTATGATGGAAACATCAATCAACAAATCATTAACAAAACAAAATAAACCAGCAAAGATTTATAAAAACAAAGAGATCTGGTAGGAAATAAAACTTGTGCAGATGAAAAAATTACGTGAGGTTAGGAACGACAGAGTATAAAAATTTAGAGAAAGGTAGAGAAAAATTGTATAAGGTGAAAAATTGCAAAGCTTACAAAATTACATGAGTTTAATATTTTATGTCCATTCGAGTTATTGGTTAATTTTTAAAAGTGCAGTTATTCAGCTGCATTGTAGGCTATTATTTTACATTCCTCCAAACAAAAACAAAATAACATAGCACCATAGCAGGCAATCTGGAGGTTCAAAATGGCGTTGGACGAATGCTCTCCCTTTTTATTAACTACCAAACCAACTAAACTTCAGCTAGCTAACTTACCACGTGGTTACACTCACAACAAACACACCAAAAGTGACCCTCTCCCCAGCCTATACAAAACACGCACCCGTGTCACTTCCAACCCTTTAACTAAAATTCCAAGTAGAACCACCAACTACCCAAAAAGCGCTAACGTGCACATGGTTGTCTATGTTTACCGATTTTTTATAGTTGTATAAAATTCATCCCTTAATTCACAACCTTAGGGGTGAATTTTTCAAAACTTCTTTCTTATTGTTCACCTACGCCATAACATAAATTTTCTGTCCAAATTTCGTGTTTCTGATTCGAGTAGTTTCGGCCCTGTGTTGATGAGTTAGTCATTCAGAAGTTCTCTCTTAATTATATTCGTGTAGATATAGGTTGCAAAAAGTAGTTTTCCCATTTCCGTTTATCTGTCTGTCGTCTAGTGTCTACCGTCTGTGTCGATTTTTATTAGACAGATCTCCGAAACTACTTGACCGATTGTTGTCAAATTTCGTATGCCTATTAGAAATCTCGTGTGGATGGTGAAACGCTAATCACCATTTTTTTAATCTTCCTGGTAACAATATTTTTTAAAATTTACAATAATAAATTTTATTACATCATAGACTAGTGTAAAAACTCAACAGAAATTCATAAACCACAAGTACATGAGTATCTTATTTTATAGAATTTAAATAACATTTATTCGGCAAAATTGTAAAATGACATTATTATTTTTCCGAATTGCGAAATGTTACATAATTTTTTATTTTTCAAAAATCTGGAGGTCGAAGGTAAAAAATCAAGACGGATTCATAAACTACAAGTGTAGAAGTATGTTATTTTGTACAATTTAAGTGACATTACCTATTAAATATTTTTAACTAACGTCATCACATTAGCGGTGGGGACGATTAAACACATTTTGTTTAGCGTTTTACCATTTACACGATATTTCTACAATACATATAAAATTTAATAACAATTAAGTCCAGTAGTTTTGGGGGGATGCGTCTAATAAAAATCAAGACGGACAGGAGACCTATTTTTTCATACTCTAGAGGTCATGAAACGTCGAGCAACATGATGGAACCTACTACACTTCGCTTAAGACGAGTCGCTACGTTTTCTGAATTTTCGGTCTATTTTCAGAATGTAATATCTCCGTTATTAACAGACCTATGGTTTTAAAATTTGAAATATATGTTGCCCATTACTTTCTTTATATAATGCAATTTTGTTAAAAATAGTTTGTGATCATATTTGTCTTTTATTTTTAGTGAAATTTTTGTATAACGTATTTTTAAAAATCAATATCTCAATTAGTAAAGGAAATATCAGAACACGGTTTTCAGTATTGTTTTCAGCTTACAAAACTTCAGAAATCATACCACATATATCGTCAATTTTTTTGTTAGAAACAATACACAGTAAAAAAAAGCTTGTGTCATAGAGGTTGCTGACTTTTATTTTTACTATATCTCAGTCCCAACAAATAAAGTCAAAAACAGACTTACGATTTCAGTACGATTTCTAAAGTTTTGCAAGCCCCCGTTCCAAAATTTCCATGAATAACTGAAATATTGATTTTTTGAAATACGTGTTGCAAAAATTTCAACAAAATTTAAAAAATATATGATAATAAATTGTTTAAAAAAAACTGTCCTAGCAGTTATGTAGCGAAAGTTGGGGACAAGTTACGTTTAAAATTTTATAACCATAGGTATGTTAATAATGGAGATATTATTACATTCTGAAAATATATTGACAACACCATAGGATCCAAAAGTAGCGACTCCTCCTAAGCCTGGGAAGAAAAACACTCGTTAAGGTTTGGGATTCGACCAGCCAGTTAAACTACTACACAAACAAGCACTTGACAGTGAAACGAGATATCGGCTACATAAACCACGTAGAAAAAATTGCACAAAAAATTTTTGGTAAAGTAATTGTGATTAAAATTATAGACAATTCATAAATTACGAGTACAGAAGTATATTATTTCTTAACATTTAGATAACTTTAACTATGCAATAAATGGCAGACGTCGTCCAATTCTTAGTGAGGATAATTAGTATAATAAATATTAATAACAAAATCAGGTTAGAAGCATTCTCAAATTACGTTTACAACTGTACCAAAACCTAGGGCCTTATTTTCAATCAAATACAGAAATATGTTGTTTACCAATAAACGGTTTGGTTTAGGATGTTGTGGTGACCCAATTTGAATCAAATTTTCGCGCTGAAATTAATTAACAGCGGCGCGAAATCACATTTGAATAATTTGAATTTGAAAAAAAAATCAATCAAAAAAAGCGTTAAAAATAGGCAACCAGGTGCACGGTAACGCTTGTTGGATAGTTGGACAGTTAGTAGCGCTAGAGGATTTTAGTTAGAGGGTTGATTGTTAGACAGCGGGCGGCTTGGTAGGAGAGGGGGGCATGTTGAAAGTGTGAGTCATTATGTTGCGGTTCGGTGTAGTGGATGCATGGTGAAAGGACGCTGTAACTAGCTAGGTTTAAATTAGCTTGTTTGGTAGTTAATAAAAGGGAGGAAGTCTTTGTTTAACGACAATCAATTGTAACCGGCGGCGCCCACTTTCCCCAATCCGCACGGCTAATTCTTGCGGCTTTTTAATAGGAAAAGTGTTAATTTTCGGGACCAACGCGGGCCACGTGGCGTAAATTTGTTTTATCATTGTAAATTCACAGTTCAGGCTAGGAGTTAATCGTTAGCTAGTGCTAACACAATTTAACAATCAGGATTATTTAAATAAACCACTTGCTCGAAGATTTCATAAAATTCACTTTTGGTCAGGATAATAATTCTTTGTTTAACAAACTACGAATAAGTTTCTGGATGCATATACGGAAGTGTTACATTATAACACTTCTTAATTCTTCACACAAGATTGCTAATAGTTCATTTATGGCAGTCAAATTAACAAAATTCATACCGCGAACTGACGGAGGGTTCAAATAATTTCTTCCCTTAGGCGGTTATCATCGTTATTATCATTGTTATAATGATTACATCACCGGGGCATGCCCTCACAATGCTACAGATTGATTACTTCATCGAGGCATGTCCTCGCAAGGCTAGAGATTAATCACACCATCGAGGTATTCCTTCGCAACGAAAAAAATTTACATCACCGAGACGCTTTTTCCTCGCAACGATGACTGAATATTTTTATGTTTATTTATTATGTGTTTTGTCGAGATAACCAGTTCGCGGTATTTTAAACTCTCAAAGTAAATTGTTTTTTTTTTTTTTGAAGTAACCAATCACTTAGATCACGATATAATTTAACATAATGTAAACTCTTTGTTTGAATCATTGATAAAGTGTGGCAAGTATTAATCTCATGTTAACTTTGCAATTTTTCACCTCATACAATATTTCTCAATCTCACAGTGTTAACCTCAGTAAATTTTCTTTGTTGTATAATTTTAATTGAACGTAAATTTCATTCACTGCAGTTTTAACCACACATAATATTTTTATTTTTTTGCTCAAGTTTATTTCACACCAGATCTTTTGTTTCATAAATGTTTGCTAAGTTTTGTTTTGTAAATATTTTGTCTATGAATGTTTCCATCGTATAAATTATTTGACGTCCAATTTTAATCTCTCATTAGAATTATTTGTTGTTTAAAATTCAGATTGTATGGCGAATTTAAATATTGTTTATTGCTCTTTTGAAACTTTAACACTTGTTCAGTTGTTATTAATATCAGAGTTAAAAGAAACTGAACATTTAAAAAATGGAACTGAGGTTAAATAAGACAGAAACACATAGCAGAAGCGTAGAGCGCGGCTCCTAGTGGGGAACTAGCGGGATTTATCGCGCCATCTGCACAAGGGCTGCAGGCTTTATATAGATTCAGTGGGAAGGGTCTGGACGATGAGGTGCTGTCAGCGTGACTTCACCTCTAGTTTTCGACCGAAAAGGCCTGGTTAGGACGGCATGTTCGTAATGGAGTCATGCTGTGCGGTAGGCTTGCCGATAGATAGAATCACCGTCGCGGGAGAGACCAGCCCGGAACGGGAGCCCCAAACTCCGCTTGTGCTAGAACGCCCCAGGGGTATTTTTATTGTGCTCCTGTTAACTGCCGAAATTTTAAATCTGCCGCCACACGCTCGTAATAACTTGTGTATTTGCATCCAGTTACTTTAATTCAGATTTTGCTTTGTTTCTATTAAATTTGTGATATTCAAATATTTGCATTGATTCAAAACATAAACGTAGGGTTTTTGTGCTTGTTTGGTTTTCATGTGTGTAAGTCTGTCAATTCGCGAGTGTCTTTTCTTTCATATTTTTAAGTTGTTTCATATGAAATGTAATATGTCAGTGAATATACGATAGGGGGTTTTTGGGGATGAGAAGTGAATGCTTGCAGCTTCTTTCCTCCTGAGAGGGGTGCGCTTTTCGCCCACTCCCTAAAATTTTGTCTATTATTTCTTACGCTGTCGACTCACACGCAGTGTATGCTCACTTGTATGAAAGAACGTCTTCCCGGCATATTTAAAAAAAAAAAAACACAACGTAGGTTCCTTTTTGTTAGACGATCACAGCCAAGGCCAAATTTTGAATTGTTGAATTTTTCGCGGGCCTTTCAAAATTTTTCAAGGTCAATTTAAAGGCGGGAAGTTTGGGTTATCACAATGTCTTAATTACTGTTTTTTTCAGGTAAAGATTCTACCGAAATATCTTGGTATTTCCTGAATAAAGGTACCTACAATTTGAACATTTTACGAACATATGCTAAATATGCACTTGATCGGTAAAGATGCAGTAGTAAGATTGAAAAATATGTAAGATATGCATTTTTTAAAGACCATTGTTTAAAAAAAGAAGTTATATGGCCAGAAAACTTTCTTCCGATAAACATGCCGCATTTTAAGAAATATAATAAGTCTTAGTAATAAAGAAGTTAGAGAACAGAGTTTTATATAGCGAAAAATTTTGCAATACCTATTATGGCATTATGACAGCCGCATATTTCTAGTTTAAAAAAAATAGATGATTTTTTCCGCCTACTCCACATATTTTTTTTTTGTACACCCGTTTTAAAATATAGCTTTTTGCATCATTTAATTACAACAATTGATATTTATTGGTCACTAACATAAATCTACAGTTTATTTGAAAAAAAAAAAAAATACAACAGAAAAAGTACAAAAATGAGTGTCGACATCTATCCAACATATACCGAAATTCTTGAAACACAACTGGACACAGCACAGTGAGTATCTGCGCATACTTACAGGTGTCCATTTATCCAGTATTGACATTGACATTTCGCCCCTCCTTACCCCCTCTCTCGAACTACCGGTCTCTCCCAGCGTGGTGTTCCTGTGCGGCATTGCTGTTGCTTTATTTCAACCGTTTTCCCTTCATTCCGTTACAGTACGATTATCGATTTTGTTTTAATTTTACTTTCGGTAACGATCTCATCATTGTATGATCTGCACGATTCTATCCATATTTTCATTATTTTCAAGAGCAATGGCGGCAGCACGTGAAAGAACTTTCATTATGGTGAAGCCCGATGGCGTTCAACGTGGACTCGTTGGCAAGATCATCAAAAAATTCGAACAAAAAGGCTTCAAACTTGTGGCCCTTAAGTTCACTTGGGTTAGTATTTTTTCACGACGAGCATGTATTAATTAAATAACCTTGAAGATAATGATGTTATTACGAAATCCTTTATTACAGCCCAGTGAGGACCTTCTCAAAAAACATTACGCCGATCTATCAACCAAACCCTTCTTCCCGGGCTTAGTTAAGTACATGGGGAGTGGCCCCACAGTGCCTATGGTTTGGGAAGGTTTGAATGTTGTGAAGACAGGTCGTGTCATGTTGGGCGCCACAAATCCAGCTGACAGTGCTCCAGGAACCATCCGTGGGGATTTGTGCATACAGGTTGGACGTAATATTCTCCACGGCTCCGACTCTGTTGAGTCTGCGAACAAAGAAATTGCTTTGTGGTTCACTGAGAAGGAACTGATCAGCTGGCAACCAGCTGCTGAGGGATGGGTGTATGAGGATTGAGCATTCTTATAATGTACTGTAAGGAATAAAACTGTTGAAATTCTCAAGGGTTTGCGTTTTATTAAAAAAAGAAGCTTGGGAGGTGTAAGCTTTTGTAGCTTATGCAACCAACATTGCAGCTTGGCTTTTTTTTATTTTGATTGAAAGTAAATGCAATGTTAATGCGCAAAATATGTTCATCGATTACGATGTGCCCTTTTTTCAATGATTTTATCATTAATATTAAGTTGTGTCAACTTTCTTACAGAACACTAGTTGATTTCATAATATATTGATAATAGATGGCACTGCATTCTAATGTGGCATCAACTGGGGTTGATGTAGTTTCTTCAAGGTATTAATTAGCTAAACAATCATTAGTTTGAAGTTTTTTTTCTTCAATAATAGTAGATTATATTATTAAGAATATAAGTAAAGCTTTATGTGCTTTATGGACTCTGTTGACTGACGAACGTAGTGAATCAGACAAGTCCGAGCGAAGCACAAAGTATTTTAACTCTGAATCATAACAATGCAGTGATTGGAACAATTACTTTTGCACTTTGAAAAATTTGATGAAGATACAATTTTTGATATTTGTTGCATGGGTCCAAAGGGTCAAGAAAAAATGTGTTAGAATGAAAAAGGCAGTGAGTGATTTATTTTACTAACGCATTTGTTACATATTCACATCAGTAAATAAAATAAAACAAGTAAATATTTCACGCAAGACGACTATATTCATAATTTAAATTCAATAATAACTGACATACAAAATTTTCGTCAGCTAAGGCATGGCGCTTTGTCTTAAAAACACTAAACATCCTTTCCACTGCGGCCCTAGCTGGAATTATTGTGGGGCAACATGTTAGGTACTTTAACAGGGGTTTTTTAAGCTCATTTCAACGGTGTGAAGTCTATTACAGTCGAACATATACTTTTGACAAAAATTTGGACAGAAGTTTGTATGTATTTCTCTAGGCTGGAATATGCTTTAGTTCACCCTTAAAATGGTGAAGAGCTTATGTATATTACATATTTTACCAAAAAATTGAAGAGCCGATTCTTTTGCGCCTAATTTCATTCTAGCTACAAATAAAAGTTCGATGCCAACTGCAACAACTTTTAAACAAAAAATTGCATTGGTGGGAAATTTCAAAATATCTTATTGGCAACGTGTCAATGTATCGTAAATATTAGTCCACCGGTAATTACCTGCGGACGCAAATCTTTTAATCTTTAATAAAAAGGATGTTCCTAAATTCTTAGATGGGGGCTACAAGATAATGTAAACTTAAAAGTCTGTCTTTGATTGCCTCTTATTTGGCGTTGTGACTTACAGATTAAATTTAGAAAACCTTAGAGGGTGCGCACTAATAAAATTTTTTGTAGGATTATGAGGGATTTAAAAGGACGGGCTCTATCGGTTACCTGTTATAGACTTGAGTGGACCAGAAAAATGGCTCAAGTTTGTTTGTCCACAAATTTTAAATACATATTCTGCCCCTGTTTACTCAACTATTTGTTAAGATATTTTATTTCTGTAACAAAATTTAAAAAACGGAAAAGCAGTCTGGGTAGGGTTTTTTAAGCTCATTTCAACGGTGTGAAGTCTATTACAGTCGGACATATACTTTTGTTTTTTGTTCTTCTTCACATGCTGCACTAATAGCATCCGAGAGTTTAGTGAATCTACTTGCTGTGATAATTAATCTTACGGGATCTTTCAGGCCTTCAACAAAAGCTTTAAGAGCAGATTTTTGATTTAGATTACTGATTGTATTATAAGCAGCTTGACCTTCCGACGCTACACAAGCATCAGTCAGATCTAAAGTAAGTCTTTCTATGCGATTTGCAAATGTTAAAATATCTTCATTATAGTACTGCTTTGAATTTATTAATTCTGCCTGAATCTGTGCAATGGTCCTTTTTTCCAAGTATTGCTGTTGCAAAATTATTTTTAATTGTTCCCAACTGTCAAAAACCTTATATTTAATGAGATTATAGGCTGATCCACATAATTTTGATTTTATTACGTTCAGAAAGGTTTCTTTTTGTTCCCTTGTAGTAGCAGAAGCTCCAACTATGTCGGAACAAGCAATAAATTTATGAAGATTTTCTTTATTTCCATTAAACTCGGGAATCATCTTTAGCGCGATATCAATTTGGAAAGCCAATTCCTCAACAACTATCGCACAATATCTATTTTATCGAATTTTTCAAAGGTGGTGGAGCAGGTATTATATAAACAAATTTACTACAATGTCCGGCCCTACATATGGCCATACCAACATGGTTTTGTAAAAGGCAGATCCACTATTACTAATTTATCTGTGCTAAGTCAGACACTAGCCCAAGAAATCGATAATCAAGGTCAAATTGATGTCATCTACACTGATTTTTCTAAGGCCTTTGATTGCATCCCACACAGAATTTTACTTCGTAAACTTAATAATTTTGGCTTCACTTTTACAATTAATATGCTCTTACATCGACAATCGCGTGAATTATATTTCTTATAATGAGTTCAGGTCCTATTTATTTACATCTAATAGCGGCGTTCCGCAAGGTTCTAATCTTGGACCGTTACTTTTTAACATATTCGTAAATGACTTGCTATCTATTATCTCTTAGTTGTCCGGTTCTTGCTTATGCTAACGACCTCAAAATATACTCAAAAATTTCCTACATTGACGATACCCTACATTTGCACGCCAATCTTGACAAAATCGTGCAGTGGTGTAATAATAATATTTTTAAAATTAATAAAACAAAATGCTTCTTTATATCATTCTCCCGTAAAAACACCCTTACTGAGTTTTCGTATTATGGATATGGATTTTTTATTATTAAAAAAGACTCAATCAAAGATCTTGGTGTAATATTTGATGAACGCTTAACATTTAACTCACACATTGAACACATAGCGAACTCAGCTAACAAGTCCTTAGGTTTTATCATGAGGGTATCTAAGTATTTCCGTAATGTCAACCTGATCAAAATTCTGTTTTATGCCTTTGTTTTAAGCAAGTTAGAATACGCATCTTTAATTTGGTATCCGATATACATCACGCAGCACATGGTCCTAGATAGAATTCTGAAGAAATTCTTGAAGTTTCTATCATTTAAATGTGATGGAACGTACCCTGAACAGGGTACGGATATGTCACTTCTCCTTCAACGGCATCAAATGTCGTCACTTTCTTCTAGAAGAGATTTTTACTGTGCTCGTTTTCTTGCAAAACTGGTTTCTAACGAAATAGATTGTATAGATCTTCTTAGTAATATAAGCTTCAATGTTCCACGGCTATCTTCTAGATTTGTACAAACATTCAAGATCGCTAGAGCTCGTACCAACATTTTACGTTGTGCACCGATTTACACAATGAGTTGTTGTGGAAATAATTGTTTAGAAGATATATTTTGTTAAATTGTAACTACGATAGTATTGTTATTTTATTTATATATTTATTAATGTAGTGTACAATTAGTTATTGTTGTCCTGTAATTGGAAAATTAATCCTGTTGGACAATAAAGTATATATTATTATTATTATTATTATTATTATTATAAAACAATATTTTTGAATATTTGGGTTAAAAATAAATGCTTTGGCATTTACTTTTAACCCAAATTTTTTTGTAAAAGTGACAGAATTACTCAAAAAAAGATATTCGTTACGATTACTCATTACACTTTTTGGAAAGTAATGTATTGCAATTAGTTATTACTTGAAAAGGAATTGATTTACTGTATTGAATTACTTGTAGTTGAATTACTGTCAACCACTGGCTAAATTATGTTTTTGCTTGTAAATAGTATTGGGCATCGACGATGCATTTCGACATTGATTTCGACACTATGGAGTCAGGTTCCATAATAACTGGAAATGTTTCATTTCATTTAGAATTACATAACAAAATAATGAATATCAATAGACAAACCTTATTTATAGTGTCAAAACCCCGGCAACACAAACTATAACAGTTATATAACAAAAAACTCACAGAGTTACATCCCAGATTTATATTGGTGTTATGTAACGCAGCAAAATTATAACAAAGTGTGCTTGGCGTTATAAAAAATCTAACATTACAGTTACATAACATCAGTATAATAATGTTATGTAACAGTCATTATGACGTTATGTTGCAGTTATATAATAAGAATATAACAAAATTTGTTATTATGATATATGACTGTTAAAGTACAGTTACATTACATAAGTATAACAGTATTATATAACAATGTGATAGTAACGTTATGTTGGAGTTAAATGTGAAAGTTATAAAAAAAATTGTTGTCATTACATACACTATAAGCACAAGTAAAAAAAGTAAAAACACACAACAAGATCGATGCAACCCCTCTAAGTTAAGCAATACAGACAGGTAATCTAATTTAAAATGATTATGTAGCATCTACAATCTTGTAATAGACAAGTTATATAGTGAGAATATAACAAAAGTATAACAAAGTTGCATATTTATTATGTCACCGTTATAGTTGCTTGAAGCGGAAATTGGAATAGAGACGTTATGTTGATGTTATGTTTTTAGTAATTATCCTGTTATATAACTGTTACAGATCAGTTACGTTTAAAAAATGTAACATATGTTTAACAGTTATGTTACGATTGTTACGGCTACATAACATTTGCAGAACGTTAGAGTAACAAAATTATATAACTGTTATAATTGTCGCTGTATTAATTTGAGGCGGAAATTGGAATATATTGAGGTTATGATAGTGTTATATAATCTGTTACATCTTTTGTAACAGTATTATGTTGTCGTTATTTAACTGTTATTATAGTTTTGTGTTTGCTGTGTGAACTGTCGGCATTTAGTTAACGGAATTTCCTCGAGCCTTTTAATAAAAAGTCATCTTCCTGTATAGTACCGGAAAAATTAAATGGACCTTTGCAAGAAACATGTGTTTTGGGGTATATAAAATTCGGTTATTATTAAAAAAGTAAAGTGTCGAAGATACGTAAAAAACGCACTCATTATCAAAAATAGGTAAGTAGGCAAAAAGAAGTATATATTTATATATATTCATGCATTT